GAGAGAGAGAGAGAGAGAGAGAGAGAGAGAAGATTCAATAAGAAGAGTGGGTTGTAAGAGTTACTCGATGATGCTGTTGTGTGATCAGATATAGTTAGGGCAAGAACGTGGCTACAACAAATTCAAGTTGAAAAAAAAAAGGAAAAAAAAGAAATGGAGAAAGAGATAGGGCAACTTTAGTGATGGTGATGGGAAGAAAGGTGGGAGAGAAGGATATATATGGAATGGTGGTGGGAATATGGGATGATGGACCTATATTTCAACTAAAGAAAGTCATGCCTACCTATATACATATGTATGCATACATATTTACGGGAAATTCTACTCTCTCGTTACGGAACAAGGGTTTACAACCGTTAGATGAACTATCAATGGTGGTTATATGATGATCTAACGGTTACAAATCCTGATGAAATGATTTCGTAACGGGACTGTAGTATTTTCCCGTGATAATGATGGAGCTGTTTTTCAACTAAAGAAAGTCATGCCTAATTATATACATATGTATGCATACATACATACATAATTTTTTTTTTTTTTTAAAAAAAAAAGAATATCTATAGATTGTCAAGTAGCTTTACCTTTTGTCTTCATAATGCTAAAGGAAATTGAGAGATAGAGAGAGAGGTATGTGGTTTTAGAACTCATGTGGAGCAGGTGAAGATAGGGCAGCCCTAGACCTAGAAATGGTGGCCAAAGACATTCTCTCTCTCTCTCCTTTTTTTTTTTTTTTCATTTTGTATAGTAGGAACTTGTAATTGCATTGTATTAATGTTACAAGGCAAAAATTAAAAATTAAAAATAATATTAATATTTTACAAAGCAGCAATTGTAAAATTTTCAACTTTTGAAACAATTAGACATTTTGAAACGGATATTGGTAAAGTGGCATATATTATGAATGAATATAACATAATTGTGGAAGATGTTACAGTCCCGTTACGGAACCTGTCCATCGAAATTTGTAACCATTTGATCAACTATCTCTGACGGTTAATTACATTATGATCTAAAGGTTACAAACTCCGACGGAATAGTTCCGTAACAGGACCTTAGCATTTCTCCATAATTGTTTGACATAGATAATGGCAAAAAATCGATTTGTGTCTTTAATAGTCCTCTTTTTTTTTTT